CTGGAAGAGGAGGACCGCTTATATCTCATCTTATGTTTGTGGATGGCCTTGTTTTATTTGGAGAAGCATCTCTTGAGCAAATGAAGGTGATGCTGGACTGCCTAAATAGCTTTTGTAGCATGTCTGGACAAGCTGTTAGCATTGAAAAAACCATTATTTTTTTCCGAGGAATACTAGGCAGGACACCAAAGAAGAAATCATTCAAGCTAGTGGGTTTAGACAGGCTGATTCTCTTGGAAAATATTTAGGAGCTCAATTATACCACGACAAAGAAAGGAGAATGAAATTTGAGAGTGTAATCCTCAGAGTGAAACAACGGGTAGCAGGGTGGAAGAGCCAGCTTCTGTCCTTCGCTGGTAGACAACATTAGCTAAAGCAGTGATTAGTGTCATCCTTGCTTACCATATGCAGTATGACACTATACCTGTTTCCATTTGTAAGGAGGTGGCAAAATTACAGAGAGGATTTATTTGGGGGGATACTTCTCTTAAGAGGAAACCTCACTTGGTTAATTGGGAGGCTCTCTGCTACCCGAAGAACAATGGGGGCCTAGGTATTACTAACCTTCAGGCTCATAACAAAGCTTTTCTTTTCAAGATTGCATGGAAGATTTTGAACAACAAAGAAGATCTGTGGGTCAAGGTGCTGGTTGGAACATATGGTAGGAACAATGATTTGAGGAGAAGTACCAAGGCAGTTAGCTATGACTCCTCCTTATGGAAAGAAGTAGTGGCCATTTGGAAGGACTTCCTACAAACCTTACAATGGGATACAGGTAATGGTAGTGGTATCTTTTTTTGGCAGGACTCTTGGAATAATTTATCGAGTCCTTTAAGTGATCTCACTACTAGCCCGTTGAATCATGATGATCTCAGGATGAAAAGCTCAGAGCTAGTGGAGACAGAGTCAGGAGATTGGAATTTGGAGAGGTTAAGGGAGCTGTTGCAGGAAGATGTTGTTCAGCATATAAGGTCCTTCCTCCCACCTTCAGAAACTAGAGTTATAGACCAACTTATTCAGAAAAATAGCGCTGGTATGGGTAGAATGGTTAAGAATGCTTACAATAGTATCATGGGATTTGACAATCTGATGAGTGATCCTATTTGGGAAGTTATTTGGAAGTGGAAAGGTCCCTTTAGAATGAGAAGCTTTGTTTGGATTGTTTTGCAGGGTAGAATCCTAACAAAAGAGTTCACTGCCAAATGGGGGTGGCTGCCCTTTTGTCATATTTGTGGGACAAAGATAGAGGATACCCTCCATGTAATGAGGGATTGCAGGAATGCGAAATCTGTTTGGGAAGCTTGGCTGGCAGGTTGTGATAGGACTAATTTTTTCAGTTTAAATTCGAAAGAATGGACTAGGAAAAACTTACAAGGAGGTTGGAGGCATAACCAGGTGTTACATTGGAAAGATGTCTTCTTTGTAACAATCTGACATCTATGGATGTGGAGGAACTATGAAGTTCATGAGCCAAATTTTTCAAGACCTCTGGACCCCATCCAAGTCATTTCCAAGTATATCGTGGAAACTAGAAGATCGAGGGAGAATCAGAATATTAATCCCTTCCCCCATATGCAGATTGTGAATGAAGTGTGGAAAGCTCCTCCGAGTGGTTGGTGGAAGATGAACATTGATGGTGTTGTTGATATCAGCTCCAATATAGCTTCCTGTGAGGGGCTTATTAGAAATGATAAAGGAGAATGGATCTGTGGTTTTACCTATGGCATCGGTGCTTGTAACCCTCTGAAGGCAGAGCTTTGGGCTATATTCACAGGCTTAAAGGTGGCCTGGGAGAGGGGTGGTAGGAAGCTAATTGTGGAAGGAGACTCCACCTTGGCTAGAAGAGCTATAGAAGATGGGGAAGCCAATGGGAATGATGACCAGTTGGTGAAAGCTATCAGGAGTTGGAAGAATTTTGGTTGGGAATTAAAGTTCATTGCTGTCAGAAGAAAGGCCAACAGATGTGCAGACTTCCTTGCACATTACCTGTGTAATTTTGATAATGAGGTGTTCGTCCATAATAACCCCCCTGTGAGGATGGAATGGATGTTGGCTCAAGAATTTAGAGCTGCTAGTAGTTAGTTTCGTTTTTTGTTTTTTGGGCTAAAGCCCTTTTTTTCTACTAAAAAAAAAAAGAGAGTCCACTCTCTTGTTTGAATATTCTTTAATTTAATTTTTAAAATAAATACTAAAGTAGTAGGGGTCGAGCCTTATAATTATTATGAGAGTTTACTTTATGGGTTCTATTTTTCTCTTGTTATTAGAGATAATATATCCTATCATAGACACATGATGTGATAGGGTCCACCACCCATTAAAAAGGAAAAAAAGAAAAAGTGGTGGCACAACTTTCTATGTAAGAGTAGCATGAGATAGTTATCTCATATAAAATAAGACAATAATTTCTCATACTTTGTTTAATAAAACAAAGTTTTTCTACTGATAATATTATTTTCTATAATTATAAAAATAAAAATTATTTTTTTAAACTTTAAAATGATATTATTTTATAATTTGAGGAATTAAAAAAATATTTTAGAAATTTATTTATTTTTCCAAATGAATTTTCTCAAAACGTTAAAATGCCATTATCATGAAATTATAAGAAGAGTAAATACCCCTTTTCGTCCCTGACAATTTTCACGAAGCATATTTTAGTCCCGAACAATAAAAAAGGCTCATTTTAGTCCCTAATATTTGAAAAAAAAGGCCACGTTTGTCCTTCCGTTAGTTGGCATCTGACGGCCCAACTAACGGAGCACACGTGGACCGTTACTTTGCTGAGTCACCGTTAAGTATGCCAGCGTGGAAGTAATACGACGTCGTTTTATGTCTTCTTGGAGTTTTGGACAGCTGACTCTAGCATCGAAGGCCCTATTTGGTCCCTGACAAATTTATCGAGGCCCTATTTGGTCCTCAACACCACAAACCTTTCTCTATCTGCATGCACCTCAAGCTGCATTAAATGTCTTTTTCCCCAACTCTTTCTTCAATCAACATAGTTTTCTGCAAGTGAATTTTCCCCCATGTCAAAAGAAAATGAGCAATTTTCCACAAAGATTCTGCAAAGGGGTGTTGAGAACTCTGACCCAAATTCAGGCACTCTTAATTTCTCAGTTAAATTACGGCCTAAATCGCCAGATTTCCTTAGTTCAGTTAATCTAAAATATGTGAAATTCAGTTACGGCTACCTCATTAGCCATCGTTTGTATTTGTTGCTGGCACCACCTCTTCTTGCAACCTTGATTGCTCATATTGAAAAGTTCACTTGGAAAGATCTCTATGACAAACATGACCTCACTGAGGCTCTATTTATATCAGCACTTTTGTGCTTAATGCTATATTTTTATATTGAATCTACACCCCGGTCTACCTATTTGCTTGATTTTTCATGTTTTTTTTCCTTCAGATGTATACAAGGTAAACAACACTCTTTTGTTAACTATTTATCACTCTTCACATATTTAAGTGTGGATGAGATTTAAGTCTTCATTATTTGAGATTGTATAATTCTTTACCAATATGTTTAAGGAAATGTAAGCCTATTTATGTATATATATTCAATTTTTTGCATGCATTGAATGGGACGATTAAGGACAAGAGGTATCCATGGTGATGTTTGGGGCAATTAAAGACCTTCTTGCTGTCACAAAAGTAAAACCAAGGGAATATTAAACACCACCCCATCACTCTCATCAATGATAATAAACCAAAGGGAAGATAGTGAAGGGAGGAAGGGACTTTCTGTAAGCAAAGATGTCAGGTTGGAGGCCATGCATCAAAGGCCAATATTACCACATTAGGTCCACTAGTCCTACCAGTTTCAGAACAACTTCACTTCTTCACCAATTTGCTCTTCAAGAAAAAGAAAACAAAACCATACATTCCGAATTACAAGCTGGCTTTTGAGCATGTATGCATTCTGGCAACAAGTAAGAAAGTGTTGGATGAGATTCAGAAGAATTTGGAGCTCACAGAGGAGTACATGGAAGCATCAAGGAAGACATTGGAAAGATTTGGCAACACATCTAACAGCAGCATATGGTATGAACTGGCATACCTTGAGTTCAACTCAAGGATCAAGAGGGGTGATAGGGTTTGTCAGATAGCTTTTGGTGTTGGGTTCATGTGTAACAGTGTTGTTTGGAAAGCCCTCAGGAATGTTGGGAGACCCAAACAGAGTCCTTGGATTGAGGATGAGTGCTGCACCACCTAACTAGCAAAGAACCTTTTAGGGATTCTACATTTCCATATTATGAGCAATGGAAAAATGAAATCAATTAAATAAATAAAACATATAGAGAAAGGTTTGTGGTGTTAAGGATTAAATAGGGCCTCGATACATTTGTCAGGGATCAAATAGGGCCTCGATAAATTTGTCAGGGACCAAATAGGGCCTTCGATGCTAGGGTCAGCTGTCCAAAACTCCAAGAAGACATAAAACGACGTCGTATTAATTTCACGCTGACATATTTAACGGTGACTCAGCAAAGTAAAGGTCCACATGTGCTCCGTTAGTTGGGCCGTCAGATGCTAACTAACGGAAGGACAAACGTTGCCTTTTTTTTCAAATATTACTACAATGAGCTTTTTTTATTGTTCGGGACTAAAATGTGCCTCGTAAAAATTGCCAAAGACAAAAAGAGAAATTTACTCTTATAAGAAATAAAACTATTTTTAAAAATTTCATTTTTTCCCAAATCCCAACATGATCCCTTTTTCTCCGTCCTCTCTCTAGGTCCCCTTATAATAAATATCACGAGCCAAAGTCGTCACGTGTCGTACACACGTGCATAATTTTCACATGGGTGGCAGTACTAAATATCGCTGTCAGACACCGACGACAAGTGGGGACCAGTATGGTAGAGTGTGACCGCCGCGCACGTGGTCCTTTACCGGACCATCCGGTCACTCTACCGGTAACTCAACAACAAACAATCTTTGATAATTCATCATGGTTTCTTTTTGATTTTTTTAAGAAAAAATCTTAATGGTCAAGATATCATGAACCTCATGTGACATAGAAATAATACCCCATTAGATAATCTTCCTTTCTATGCTTTCTTTATTGTTCTGCACTTGGACCAAACTTTATTAGTATTATTATTATTCTTATTATTATATGGTGTTCTTGTCTTTGCTTATTGGGAGGAAGGGAGAAGGGCTGCTTCTATTTTGTTTGTGAAGGAAAACGATTCTTGGGTGGGAATTTGAGGTGGGTTTTGATTGGTTTGTGGGTTTTCTTCTGTTTTTGGTCTGAAATGGAGAGAGATTTCATGGGTCTTAGCTCAAAAGAATCATTATCTGGGGTGAAGGAGGAGATGAACAATGATATTGATGGGTGCAAAGACACAGGCATGTTTTCCTCCTCATTCTACTGTTGTACTTTTTTTGTATGATTCTCCACTTGAATGCTACTTTGCATATTTTGAGTGCTTTGAGCTATTTAGCTCTTTTTTTTTTTTCTTGCTTTCTGTTTTGGGCTCCAATTCTTTCTGTTTAGATTGCATGGCAGGTTGGGTTGAGGTAGAAAATTAAATATTTGAACCAGTTTATTAGATTTGCTTGGTTAATATGGTTATCCTGTATATAATTTTGTTTCTATGAGTGGTACAACTTTACTTCCGCTGCAGGCTATTTATTAGGTGGTTCATGTGTGATAGATGTCACTAGTGAAACTAGACAAGTTGTGACCCTTGTTTGGATATTTAAAGTTTTATACGTGTGTTTGTGTTTGTGTGTGTGTGTATGAAATTTGTGATTTGGGAAAAATAATATCCAGTTTTTGTTGATTTGGGTATTGCAATACCCACAGTGATGCTTCTGAACACAGATACATAGATTGATGCCAAGTTAAAAACCTTATAATCTCCCCCTCCCTTTTCCTCTTCCTTTCTTTTTAATACTTTGTTCTCAATTTGGTATGCCCTTTAAACTGGGGATGAAAATTTCAGGGATGAATTTATATGAAAATTTGCATATCAAATTCGTCTCTGAATTTTTTCATCCCTATATTTAAGGGTGGGGGTTGGTGTACCGGCGAACTGACCCTTAAGGTTTAATGGGCTATTAACTGAAGTATGAATATGAAGTTGTTCTAGCTTGTATTGATGGTTCCTTTGTGGGTTTGTGTAGGTTTCACAAAAGGTTCAGTGGTAAAATGGCCCTTCTTGAACAAAGTCTCTGCTCATCCGCATTTGATGTCTTTCAATGTTTCTCAAGATGATAAGACTAAAATGATGGGGTCTGATTCCATCACATCTGCTGGTTTGTTTGCCATCCCAAGTCTAGACAAGTTTGACTCTATTCATAAACGTGCTGCGGGTGAACTACAGGTTTGATAATACCCTTTTCTCTCAGTTTTTGTGCATTTGTTCAAAATTGTCCAGTTAGCACAAAATTCAGTTTATTAGACTTTAGATTCATTAAAGTGAAGTGATTAAACATATTCACACTTGACTGATAAGATGATTTTTCCTCCTGTGTGTTCAGATTGGTATTTTAATTTTCAGTCCAATCTGTGGTTTAAGAGGACAACCTTTTGTATAGAATCTAGTTCTGCTTATGATATTTAGTTATTTATACTAGTCTTTCTTTCTGGAATATGAACTCAACCTTTGCATTTGAACCTAGCGTTAGGATATTTTGCAACATCTCATGTTTGTTGTTCCAACATCCCTTTTATAAATTGGTTTCATCCCCTGGTCTTTTCCCCTTCCATTGATTGTTTGTTCTTACTATTTAGAAATCTTTCAATCATGACGGACAAGGTGGCATTCATTTTTCCCTGACTCCATATCCTGTACAACATGATGTGAATTATGTGAATCGTCCTCATGATGTGAAGATGGTTTCGGTTTCCAATCAAGCAATTTCAGTTTCCCTGGGACATCCATTCCTAAAGAATCATTTTGTTACTGTTGGCCAGAATATGAACGGTGCTAATGTGAAGCAACCATTGCTTGGGGGAATACCTGTTACAGCGCCTCATTCAGTTCTTCCCATCGTCGGTGCTGTTGCTGGAACAACTGAATCATGGTAATTTAAGTTTATGCTTTAACTTTTATTTAGAGAATTACTTGAGTGCAGTGAACAAACTTGTTTGTCTCTAATTTATATTATTTTGAAGTAACAGTGTGAAACCATCTGCACCTGCTCCTCAACTTACCATCTTCTATGCGGGAACTGTAAATGTCTTCCATGATATAACTCCTGAGAAGGTATCTTTCTCTTTTTATCATATTTCATCGCATCCATAATAAATTAATAAATGAATAAGGAAAAAGAGGAGCATACACGTCATGATTAAGCTTAAATTCGACCATCTTTCTTCAGGCACAAGCTATCATGTTGTTGGCTGGGAATGGCTTATCTGCAGGTTCTAACATGGCACAGTCCAAAGTTCAGGCACTCGGCACGAAGTTGGCAGCAGGTGATAGTATGCCTGTGAGTCAACCCATAAATGTTCCACCCTGCTCTGGTCTTTCAAGTCCTTTATCTGTTTCTTCACATACTGGTGCCCAATCAGGGAGTGGCTCAAGTTGCAATGAAGAATTTCTTGCAGCTAAAACATCTGGAGGTCCCATCAACTCTGTTAGCAAAGTGGAGACTCCAAAAGTAGTTAATGCAACCACCATGTTAACATCAGGTAATGGTGGCAAATAGTTTCTATTTCTAGCTACTTGATGTTTCTTTAGTTCTTCACATTCTTTTATTTGGGGATATTTGTCTGAAAATTATAGTGAATAAGGGTTGCAAGTGCTTGTATTTAATGATTTTAACAACCAGAAGATTTTCTACATGAGACTGAGATTTAGTGTTTTATGCAGCTGTGCCGCAGGCTCGAAAAGCATCCTTGGCTCGATTTTTGGAGAAGCGCAAGGAAAGGTTAGTTCTGAACATGGTTTCTGTTTGCTAACAAGCAGAATGATTATTATTTCTCTAAAACTTTCACACATAAGTTGAGATATTGAAGAGACTTGAAGATTTTGAGGTTTTCTTGATTGCAACTCATGCCTTTGACAAAAGTAGCATTAGATTCTGCTTTGTGTTTAAGATATCTAGTTTTACACATCTTCATCAAGATTGGATGAAAAAGTATGTCTGAGGCGTTTCTGTTCATGCAGGGTGATGAATTCAGCACCATATAACCTCAACAAGAAGTCTGAGGATGTTGCAATGCAGAATACAATGATTTCTAACATCTATGCAAGTACTGGTACTAATACGCTTTCAGCCAAGCAAGGATAGTAGTAACCCTTTCTTATAGGAGACTACTTCAGAGGGAGAAATATTTTGTTGTAACTTAATTAATGTTGTAAACTTATGATTTTATTCTTACTTGATCAAAACTTGTGCTGAGATTCTTAAGCATCAAACTACGTTCACTACATAGGTAGGGCTTTACCTTAATTATTTTTTGATGTAGGGCTTTACCTTATTACTCTAAAGTTGGTTGGATTTTAGCTTCCAACAATATAGCATTAGCAGACCACTTTTGTAACTATATCTGACAATTTGTTACATTGTGGTAATTAAAAGCAAATTTAGATATTTATATTTTAGTTTATAGTTTTTACTTTCTTTTCTGATACATTTATTACATCATTAATTTTTCATTCAACTCATACTATACCATCTCTTACCCTGGTTTTCATGTGTTGTGCTTTCTCGAACAAAACTTTGGTGGAACATTGGGTATTTTATTGTTTTACATTTGGAAAAAATTTAACATTTTTGAAAAAAATAAAATAAAATTCTCACCAAATTGAAAGAAATTTCAAATGTGAAAAAAGGGAGTACTCACTTGGGTTTTCTCATTCCACCAAAGTTTTGTTCCTCCCTCGTCCATAAAGAGGTTGCACTAAAGTGATTCCCTTCTACATCGAGACTTGATACAAAGAATAAATTTGAAATTCTGGTGCACAAAACTATCCAATTTGCGGTTTAAGCATTAATTGTATATAGTTTTACTCTTATATTTTGTATAAAGAGGATGTTTTTTTCATTCGTTACAAAGAATGAAAATTAATATAAATTTTTAATTTAATTTATTCATATTAAAAAACATTAATGTGTTTTAACTTTCATTAAATAAAAACATATTAGATATGATTTATATTTAACATTTAGATGATAATTCTTATTGGCCTGATGCAGAAAATATCAGGATACAGAGAATATAGTGAAATATTGTTGTACATAGCTCATATTAGATAAATTTGTGTCTTCATTCTTTCTTCCTTTCTATGTGTTTTGCAATTTTGTGTGTAATTGTTTGGTCGCAACTAAACACCTTTAATTTAAAGAAACAACAAAAAGAAGTAGTCTAGCGACAAAGATAAAAAAAATAAAAAAAATAAAAACAACTATGATTAATAAAATCTTGAAAAATAATTATAAAAAATAAAAGAAGAACCTTAGATATAAACAGAATGATAAATGGCATTACACGTCAACTAATGGCAGACACGAGTGTCTCAAATGACAGGTTTCACAAGCATCATACACAACATTCACGTGGAAACAGAAAAAAAATCAAAGATAATAATGGATTATTAACAAGTGGTTGTCCTTTAAGAGTTTTGAGTGGTTCTAATTGAAGTCGTGACCCTCCGCACTTACACTTTGCCTATTTTTAACATAAAGTCACGCATGAAAAGTTGATAATTTTGGTGGTACCAAAGAATTGAAAACAATTCAAAGTCATGACGAAAAGATAGCTAGGTACAAGAAAAATCTACTTGCCATATGGTATGGTGCAACCATCAATCACGTTTTCAACGAAGGTCGAATATAATAGACATGGCGTGCTTTTTTGTCAATGCTCCAACCAACCAAAGTAGTATTTTGCTTTGAGGTGATATTTCGTTTTCAAGACATGTGATCTTGTTTATTATTTTCACATTCTTTTACTATTTGTTTTTTTTTTTTACTTTTTTGCAAAGAGTTGTATATAATCTAACAATTTTATTACTATATTCTTTTAACATTCATCTCTATTATTATTATTATTATTATTTTATTGCGTTTCTAATTACTTTAAGTGATATTTATATAATTATATCAGTCAAACACGGGAGATTGGGTAAGACCTAAGAATGTAGGCTCAACAGAAGGGTCCATAACAAGATTCCTAATAGGGCCCAAGGCAGGGAAAATGTTTTAGTGCTCCCTTCTATTCTGAGGACGACATGTGGATTATTTTATTTTATTTTTTCTTTTCTTTTTTTCTTCTGATTTTGATTGATTCGGACTACTGAGTTTATGGTGTCGGAGACCACAAAAATTATTCTCCTAAAATAGGAGATATTGGATAGAAAAAGAAAAATTAAGATAATGGAGTATTTGTGAGAATTGAACTGGTTGCTTTTGTTCTTTGTTTTTTTTTGTTTTTATTATTATTATTATTATCCATCTGTTTATTGATTATTTGATTAGATCAATTTGAGCTGGGTAGGATCATATAAATAACAAAAATTTTCTTACTAAATTTTAACACAAAATTTTAACACAACTGTAATCCCAAAAATTTAAACTCGAGAATACTAATTATGATAGAACAACTACTTACCAATTGATCCACGTATTTAATGATTTTGTTCTCTGATTTTCTTTTCTTTACTAATTGAGCTGCTAACATGGAATTAATATGATTATCATATTTTTAGTAGAATTGGTTTATTTTGTTAGTAAGTTACCTACTAATTTTTAACCATTACGTAACATATTATTTAATCATTTTATAGTTTTCTTTGATAGCCTGATGATCAATAAACAATATCATTAGGGATTGAGTTACATTTTGATAAAGAACCTAATAACCGTCGAAACCAAAAATAGAAAAAAATAAAATAAGAATTAAGCATTTAGAATTATAAGAACAGTATTAATCATTCGGTTTTTTTTACCAAAAAATAAAATAAAAATTATTCAATGAAATAATAATTTCGTGCTCCAAGAAGAGCTGAAGCATGGACGATGATTTTGAAAATCAATTTATGACAAGTTAGTAGCAGCTAAATTCAAATGTTCAAAATATTTTAGAATTAATATTTTTCATGTTATAGGAGATAAAATTTTATCTCCTATACACATAAAAGTGTGGGAGATTTTATTTTCTCTCTTCTGTTCACATGGGTCCCACGCATTTTTATATATGCGTATATGATAAAATTATCTTCTATTATATAAGAAACAATAATCTCAATATTTTACATAAAAAAAACCTGTTTTTTATTTTAAAGGACTCAAGTTTAATCTATTGCTTTTTGGCCCCTATAACCTCAATAGGATGAGAAAGTCGAAGAGATTTTCACTATCGTGGAATCAACCCTTCACCCACCATGATATATGATTGCTGCACTTGTCTGGAGGAACCAGTAGCCTTTAATTATTCCTTGCTGGCAACACTTTCATTAAGGAGATAAAGAAATCACTTGCTTGCTAGTTTCATACTCAGTTAATCAGTTCAATTGTTTGATATGTGCAAGTTTTGAACTCCAACTTCTAACTTAAATATTACATTCATATGAGCGCTCAATCGAATGTAGCAGGTTGGAGGCCATTTAACCATTCATCATATCTAAACCAACAATTTAGGCCGGTTGATCAAAACTTAAGGTGTCCAATTCGAACACTATCGAACTCTTAATAAAAATAATTTTTCTGACATGGATTCAGTCGAAAGGTTGACCTATTTGAGATAATTAAATTATGGGTTAGATGGTTTGTTTAGTGAAAATCCTGAATTTTAAGTCAAGAGTAAATACTCAAATTGGTCCCTGACAAAATACTCGGTATCCATTTTAGTTCCTAACAAAAATAAACTAGCTGAAAAGTCCCCAACAAAGACGAACATGTCCCACGCTAGTCCTTCTGTTAATTCAAAACTGACGGTGTCACCGACAGTGCTGATGTGTAACGTTAATGGACATGCTGACTGCCACGTTGGAGGTGGAACGACGTCGTCTAGAGAAAGGAGATCCATGTTGCTCAAAATCAATTCACTAAACCCACTACTGGTTTCTCCAAAGCGCGATAATTCTGGCAACATCAAGTACAAACTAAGCGACATCGAACCACAGAGCATGCAAAACAGAAAGGTATGTAAAATATATGTATTAGGAATTATGAACTGTCTAAATGCAGAATACAAATATGAAGCTCTCAAAGCACCCATACAAAGTACAGACCATAGTTCCAGATAAAGGAACAAGCGCAATGAATTTTCCAGGTTGATAAACAGATATGTCGTCTCACAAATTTAAACATCTCACTCCTCATGCTCTCGGCATAAGCAGCAAGTTGAGGGGCTTCTGATCTGAATATATATTATCAAAATACAAGGCCCAAACTAAAAGTCTTTACTACTAAGAAAGCTCATAGTCAATAAAGGCTGCAAAACCCACCTCATCAAGCTGCACAATATTTATGACAGCAAAGACGCCTATATAACAGCAAGTTCATGACAGCCAGCAAGCTCCTTAATATTAATGGTCTTATGACAGCAAACTCCTCAACATTAAACAAGGCAGCCATATTACTTTGCTTCCAAGACAAAGCAAACTTGATCACTAAGTAAAATCACCAGGCTGCTCATTTCTCTACTATAAATACATATGTATCACCAGGCAAACTTGATCACTAAATACATATGTATCAACACTAAGGTACTCATCTTCTCCTACATAATTGAAACCTGCTTGAACCATGACTGACTTGAGCGTCGGAGTGTCTTGCAGGTACACCCCCCATCTCGTTCCATTGAAGAGTCATGGGTTAAAGCTGCTCCAACTGCAAGATCCTCTGGCCCAAGACGGTTCCAGGACATTTGTGTAGAGGAAGATCACATGATCGGCTCAGTTGTAAAACCGGTTCTGATTATTGGCGCCGCCGTCTGTGGGAAGATATGTAAGGAGCTTGATATATATATATATATATATATATATATATATATATATATAGTTTGCACCGTTAGTTATATATTGATATATAGGTTGCACCGTTAGTTATATATTGATATATATAAACTTGGGAAGAAATGTATATGGAGCGAGATGCTATATACATATACATAAACTTACGAAGATTGAAGAAGAAGAATGGATTAATAGGCGCTACCAAAAATCCATGATTGAAGGATTGCTTTGGTCACAAGTGCATCGAAGATTTTACGTAGACCCTTAGGGAGCTTGATAAGAATGATGAAGCAAAGGAGCAATTTGCAAAGTATATATAAGTATATATGATAATATTGAGAATCATATTCAGGTCCGCTCCTATAGGTGTTTTTTAGCATGATACAATCAAACATTGGCGTTACCCTGTTTGGCACTATGGAAAAACTTTCTAGAAATTTCCACCAGAAATATTGTACTGGACTAAAAATATCTCATCAGTGATGGCGCTATTGATGGTGGTTACTATGGCGCAAAATATTTTTATAAGGACGTGTCATATCGAATTAGTATCAACCAAGATGGCGCTTTTGGCATGATGCTATACAAAATATACGTGGGAACTCATATATTCCAAACGAAGTGGTGGGACCTTACTAAAGTTAATCCATTTATTATCACAACTAGCGGCGTTAGCACTAAGCTGTAAGAAAATTGATGCAGAGTTATTATGATTAGTTATATTGGGAATAACTTATTAGTTACTAACTTGTTAGTTAATTCTGTTATTATAGTTAGCCTTGCAGTTAGTTGATATAGATTAGAAGTTAGTCAATTCTGTTGACAGTAACTGATATAAATATATAAGTACTCATTGTAAACAAATTCATTCAGTTCAGTATTCTTTCTAATAAAGTTTTCTTCCTTCTTGAGTTGTGTTGTTATGCAACTGATATGGTATCAGAGCTCTTCTTGAGTTCTTGTATTTCATAGCTGTTTTTCCTTTCTTTTCATTCTTTTCTTGTTCGATTCTATTCACCCAGATCCAAGATTTCAATCATGGATACAGCAACCCAGAACTCACGTCAATTACCAAAATATTTGACAAATCCTTCTCATACACATTACCTACATCCCAATGAAAATCCATTCCTGGTTCTTGTATCACCAATATTCGATGGAAAGAACTATCATTCTTGGAGCAGAGCCATGAAAATGGCATTGAAATCGAAAAACAAATTGGGTTTTATCGATGAATCAATTGTCATTCCTCAAGAAACAGATCCCAATTTTGCTGCATGGGATCGATGTAACATCATGGTACTTTCTTGGCTTCATCATTCCATTGCAAATTCGATTGTCCAGTCAATTGTTTGTGTTGAACAAGCTTCTGAAGTATGGAAAGATCTTCAAGAAAGATTCTCCCAATCAGATGCATTTCGTATTGCTGATCTCCAAGAAGAACTATTTCGAATGTGCCAAGGTGAGTGCACAGTTTCTCAATACTTTACAAAACTTAAAGCAATATGGGATGAACTAGATGGTATGCAACCACTTCCTAAGTGCAACTGTAATCCAACATGTGTTTGTGGAAATTTGATGCAAAAACAAGCTCGCACCAATCGGGAAAAGGATCATGTAATCCGATTCTTGAGGGGTTTAAATGAGCAATTTTCTAATGTTAGATCACAAGTGATGATCATGGATCCACTACCCAATGTGAACAAAGCCTTTTCTTTAATTGTCCAACAAGAAAGGCAGATATCCGCTGATACTAACGCTGATGTTAAAGTCTTTCTAAACACTCATGAACAAGAAAAGCCCAACTTCCCTCGTGCTGGTACTGGACAGAAGTACAGCAATGACCAAAGCTTCAATCGTGGGTCTCACAAAGAGGTAGAGGTCGTTCCAATTATGGGCGAGGTAGATCAAATTCTGGAAAGGTATGCACCTATTGTGGAAGATTTAATCATACAGTTGAAACTTGCTTTGAGAAGCATGGCTACCCACCTGGTTATAAAACCAGTTTTCCAAGAAAGGTCAACATGGCCTCTCATGATGAATATGATTCCTTCAATTTCACACCAGAAGAAACAAACACTGCAGCAGATAACAGTGATCAATTCCATCTTACCAAAGAGCAGTATCACAATCTAATTGGCATGATCAAAGACACACAACAAGAATCTCCACACAGCTCCAATTTGGTTCAGGTTAACTCAAGTTCCTTGACTCCAGGTAATCTCTCTTTTCAATGGATCCTTGATACTGGTGCTACTGATCATATCAGTCACCAAAGTTCTTTGTTTTCCTCCCTTCGAAATATTAAACCTATATCCATCAAGCTACCAGATGGGAATCAAGTCACTGCTACTCAAACAGGAAACATTTATTTGTCCTCTTTTCTCACATTATACAATGTATTGTTTGTTGCCAATTTCCATGTGAATCTCATATCCATTGCCAAATTAGCTCATGATTCATGTTGTCATGTAGTTTTTCACTCACTGAAATGTTCCATTTTGCATAACAATACCTTGAAGATGATTGGTTCAGCTAAACAGGAACATGGACTCTTTATCATGAATTCCAGTAAAGATTCTTCTAAGTATTGTTGTACTCATACTTCTCAATCATCCAAGTTATGGCATCTTCGGCTTGGCCATTGTTCCAAAACTGTATTACACAATATGTCTATATTTTTTCCTTCTATATCATGTACAAATGATTCTGATCCTTGTGATATATGTCAATTCTCCAAACAAAAGAAATTGCCTTTCTCATCTAGTGTAACTGAATCTTCCAATCCTTTCACCATTATACATGCTGACATATGGGGTCCATATACCATCACATCAATACATGGACATCGATATTTCCTTACACTAGTGGATGATCATTCCCGTTTCACATGGATGATACCAATGAAAACAAAATCTGAAACACGAAAACATATATGTAACTTCACTGCCCTTGTTCAAACACAGTTTCACAAAATAATTCAAACATTTCAAACAGATAATGGCATTGAGTTTGCCATGAATGGTTTCTTCAAAACCAAAGGAATTCAACATCAAACCTCTTGTGTTGAATGTCCCCAACAAAATGGTATTGTGGAACGCAAACACCAACACATATTAAATGTTGTTCGAGCCCTCCTATTTCAGTCTCACATTCCTAAAACATATTGGTGTTACTGTGTTACTCATGTTGTCCACATCATTAATAGATTAACCACTCCATCCTTAAACAATAAAACTCCATATGAATGTTTATATGGCATTCCTCCTAATTTCAATCATTTAAAAGTGTTTGGCTCACTTTGCTTTGCTTCCACTTTAACTCAACAACGCACCAAATTTGATTCCCGTGCCAGAAAATGTGTCTTCCTTGGATATAAAGAAGGTACAAAAGGGTATCTTGCCCTTGATCTACATACAAACGAAATAATTGTCTCTAGAAATGTTAAATTCTTTGAAGACCATTTTCCTTTTGCACATGCACCTTCAGAGCAATATACTACACACTCGATTCTTCCTTCAGTAACCTTAAATTTCAGTGATGAGAACTTAATTCCATCTGTTGAAGCACCAATCCCTTTAAAATCTGCAATTCTTCCAACAGTTAACCCCTCCACTATAAATGATCCCTTACCAATTCGCAGATCAGATCAAACCAGATCTGCTCCTCAATACTTAGCAGAATTTCATTGTGGATTATCCAGTTTAGCTGACAACAATACATCATCAGGTATATCTTCTGTAAACCCATATCCTCTATCAGATTTTCTTTCTTATGACAAATGCTCTCACACTTATACCACCTTTTGCACTAACCTGTTGACCACGACTGAACCAAAGAATTACAAACAAGCTGCTTCCATTCCTTGCTGGCAAGATGCCATGACGGCTGAACTTCAAGCCTTGAAAAAGAACAATACATGGAAGCTGACTGAACTTCCACCTGACAAACAATCGATAGGCTGCAAATGGGTGTACAATATCAAAAGGAAACCTGATGGATCAGTGGATCGTTACAAAGCAAGATTAGTTGCTAAAGGGTACACTCAATGTGAAGGGATTGACTACTTCCAAACTTTTTCTCCAGTCGTGAAAATGACAACAGTAAGGACACTTCTTGTTATAGCTATGACTCAAGGTTGGCATTTAGAACAACTTGATGTTGATAATGCCCTTCTTCATGGTGATCTTCATGAAGAGGTATATATGCAACTACCCCCTGGTCTTCATTGTCCCTCTACTTCCATGGTCTGGAAATTGGAGAAATCTCTTTATGGCTTGAAACAAGCTAGCCGTCAGTGAAATGCCAAATTGACTTCCACATTATGCCAGCTTGGCTACTCCCATTCTATGGCTGATTACTCCTTGTTCACCAAAAAGACTTCCTCAACTTTCACTGCATTATTGATCTATGTAGATGATCTTGTTCTCACTGGCAATGACATGACAGAAATCAACCATGTGAAGTCATCTCTACATAATCAATTTCGAATTAAATACTTGGGACAACTCAGATATTTTCTTGGCTTGGAAGTTGCTAGATCCAAACATGGGCTGATTCTTAACCAACAGAAATATGCTCTTGAATTGATAGCTGACTCTGGTATACTTGCAGCTAAACCAGTCTCCACTCCATTAACTCCATCTCACAAGCTCAGTCGAGATAAAGGCATCACATACTCTGATCCTCCTACTTATCGTCGATTAGTGGGCAGATTATTGTACCTCACCGCCACAAGGTCATATATTGCACACTCTGTCCAACAATTGAGCCAATTCATGGCTTTTTCTACACAAGATCACTATACTGCAGCTTGCCATGTTCTTCGTTACCTCAAAGCTTCTCCTAGTAAAGGTCTTTTTTTTCCTACAGTAAATTCTCTTTCTTTAACTGGATTTGCTGACAGTGATTGGGCTTGTTGCCCAGATACTAGGAAATCTGTTACTGGTATGTGTATTCTCCTTGGATCATCACTCATCAGCTGGCGTTCCAAGAAACAAAACACAGTTTCTCGGTCTTCATCTGAGGCAGAATATCGTGCATTAGCTAATTTGACTTGTGAAATTCAATGGCTTGCTTATTTGTTTCAAGATCTTGGTATTCTTTTGCCTCAACCAGTTTCGGTTTATTGAGACAATCAATCCGCAGTCTACCTTGCTCATAATCCCAGCTTTCATGAGCGTAGCAAACACATTGACATTGATTGTCATATCACAAGAGAAAAGATCAACAATGGTCTTCTGAAACTGCTTCCTATCACTTCCCAACCCCAGCTTGCTGATGTCTTCACGAAGTCTCTGCATCCAACTCCTTTTCGGGAAAACATTTCCAAGTTGGGATTGGTTGATATCACACTCCCAACTTGAGGGGGGATATTGGGAATAACTTATTAGTTACTAACTTGTTATTTAATTCTGTTATTATAGTTAGCCTTGCAGTTAGTTGATATAGATTAGAAGTTAGTTAATTCTGTTGACAGTAACTGATATAAATATATCAGTACTCATTGTAAACAAATTCATTCAGTTCAGTATTCTTTCTAATAAAGTTTTCTTCCTTCTTGAGTTGTGTTGTTATGCAACTGATAAGTTATGGGTTAAGATCATGAGCTGAACTCGCTTCACATGGTTAGCTCCAAGTTGTTAATGACTTTACTTAAACAAATCCCTTTATGGTACTCCTAGCACATACTGCGATATTTGACAAGTTTTGTGTTGGATAAATGACAAAAGGGGTGTTTGATCTCTCACTTTTCAGCACTATAGATGCTGAAAGATAATTTCTTTGACTTTTCCATCGCATGGTTCCTGAAATTATTTGGAATATGCGTTCGTCTATATGCTCTGTGAAGAAACATGAAGTTTGATACGATATAAAGTGAAAATTACCTCGATATTTAATCAGTATGCGAGATGAAAGAGCCACCAAAAAGTTATCATAGAACTATGAAATCAGTTGACCGATGTCACCGTCATATAGCATGCTTTCTTATCTAGCGATATGTAATCATATGGCATGATCGTTCTATTTATTCTCAGTGCCACCTTTAGGGACCTTAAACATTGGGCTTGTCAGCATATTGCTATACTATTCCAAGATATAGAAGCATTGATTGGGAAAAACACCATTTTAAAGCTTTTGGAGAAAAGAATTGTCCGGTTAAAGCTGATTGGATAAGTTTCTACAAAGTAATGCAGTCAAACATGTCGCCTATGCTGACGGGACTAGTCCTGTCACTGATACTGACGGGACTCGTGCCACGTCAGCGCCACGTAGGCAATCCAATTACCGTAAATCTTCCGAAGACCATAACTTGTGACTCGGATATCCAAATCAGATGATTTGTTTTTTGATTTCACATAACTTTTCGAGATCTACGCAATGATACCTCATTTGACATATTTTATCTCCCACAAACATAGTTTAAATTTGTAACAATTGTATCACAATCACAAGAGTGTTTATCTATTAGACTATGTTTGTGGGAGATAAAATATATCAAATGAGGTGTCATTGCGTAGATCTTGAAAAGTTATGTGAAATAAAAAAATCATCTGATTTGGATACCCGAGTCACAAGTTATGACCTTCCGAAGCTTTACGGTAATTGGACTGCCTACGTGGTGCTGACGTGGCACGAGACCCGTCAGTATCAGTGACGGGACTAGTCTCGTCAGCATAGGTGACATGTTTGACTGCATTACTTTGGAAAAACTTATCCAATCAGCTTTAACCGGGCAATTCTTTTGTCCAAAAACTTTAAAATGGTGCTTTAGCCAGCATTGATTACGTTAGGATGTTTAATTATTAAACCAAAGGTGGTACTTAGGGTGAATATAAGCCAATATTGGACCAAATACTAGAGAATTGATTGCTTGGTTTTTGACATATTTTAAGGATCTTGCGCAATGGACATGCAATATGTTTTTCACAAGATATATATATATATATATATCTTTATAAAGGGGTTCACAAGAATTTGTGGGAAAGGTTTATAGCAAATAGATAAACCAGTATGAAACCCTTGAGCACTTCGATCTTACATAAAAAAACATGAGATGATTTTTCTTAGGTGACCTAAGGTAGCTGCGCATGATGCAATATGACTATCAAATATTGCGCGCGATGTAGTTTTACCTCATGGTATAGCCATCCTTCTGGACCTGAATATTTTATACTTTGGTTCTTAGCAATTCTATGAAGGTTATTGTTATAAAGAAATTCCAAAGGTTCATTGAAAGAGTATTTTATAGAGTTGGAAGGTCCCATATGTCGCAAAAGAATTTGTAGGATGAATATTTTTTACAGAAGTTGCCTTTAGGGTTATATAGAAGCAACGTGGAAGGATAGTCTTATCCTACTCCCAAAAAATTGCAGGAACTCAAGACTGATAACTGGCAAAGACAAAAATCTCGTATGAAACACAGATAAACTTAAAAAGTTACACGCGGTATCAGCAAAGTTATAATTCTGAAATGGATTACTGCTGATCTTGATTACAATTATGATCTTAATGATATGATGTTATTATTCTGTGAGATCTGAGTAAATTGCAGGTTTCATCAAACAAGAGACATATGAACCTTGTCTACAACCTGCTACAAGCACCTATAGCTCTTAAGCTTAGGTTTGAATGAAGGGAAGATAATAAAACTTCCTCCAAATGAAAAAGGATCCTCTAAAAGGACCCTCCAAATGAAAAGGATCTTCCAAAAGGACCCTCCAAATAAAAGGATTCTCTAAAATGACCCTCCAAATGAAAAGGATCCTCCAAATAAAATGATCCTCCAAAAGGACCCTCCCAATGAAAGGATCCTCCAAATCATCCAAGCTCCAGCGCGATGAAGAAAACGAAAGGAAGCTAATAAAATTTCCTCTAAATACAAAGGAAGGAAAAGCCCTAAACTGGTTAAGTTTTCCTCCAAAGCACGATAATTCTGCCAACATCAAGTACAAACTAAGCGACATCGAACCACAAAGCATGCAAAACAGAAAGGTATGCAAAATATATGTATTAGGAATTATGAACTGTCTAAATGCAGAATACAAATATGAAGTTCTCAAAGCACCCATACAAAGTACAGACCAAAGTTCCAGATAAAGGAACAAGCGCAATGAATTTTCCAGGTTGATAAACAGATATGTTGTCTCGCAAATTTAAACATCTCACTCCTCATGCTCTCAGCATAAGCAGCAAACTGGGGGGCTTCTGATCTAGATATATATTATCAAAATACAAGGCCCAAACTAAAAGCCTTTACTACTAAGAAAGCTCGTAGTCAATGAAGGCTGCAAAGCCCACCTCATCAAGCTGCACAATATTTATGATAGCAAAGACACCTCTATAACATCAAGCTCATGACAGCCAGCAAACTCCTTAAAATTAATGATCTTATAACAGCAAGCTCATCAACATTAAACATGGCAGCCCTATTACTATGCCTCCAAGACAAAGCAAACCTGATCACTAAGTAAAATCACCAGGCTGCTCATTTCTCTACTATAAATACATATGTATCAACACTAAGGTACTCATCTTCTCCTACATAATTGAAACCTGCTTGAACCATAACTGACTTGAGCGTCGGAGTGTCTTGCAGGTACACCCCTCATCTCGTTCCATTGAAGACCCATGGGTTAAAGCTGCTCCAACTGCAAGATGCTCTGGCCCAAGACGGTTTCAGGATATTTGTGTAGAGGAAGATCACATGATCGGCCCAGTTGTAAAACCGGTTCTGATCAAATATACTTTAACGAGAATACCCATATCTAATGTAAAATGTAGCAGTTCAAATAATTTAAACTCTCAGATTGATTTCAAATAGTATTATTAACAGTCGGGATGTAATGCAGCTTGAATGAATACAACAGTATTGTTTGGTAGGAGAAAAATATTTATACTTGCAAAATTGATTTTTTACTATATTCATATAAAAGTGAATAAATCCTATTATAAAGAAAAGATAAAGAAAAAAATAATAATACAATTCACTTACATTTATATGAGTATGACATAAAAAATTCTTATAGCAATAATAGAAATTAAATTCTTTATTTAAAAATTATTATGAAGGTTTAATAATTAGTTATAATTAAAAACAATAATTTTAAAATAAATATTTGCCTAACCAGGAAAAAATAGTAATGTTCAATGATTGTAACCATCCCCTTATCGGTCTACACATGATAAGCCGGTATTCAATGATGTTGACTAAAGTGGAATTAATGGGAACAGTAATTAATGTACCATACAATGGTAACTTTTTTACTAACATGTCATGCGAACAATGTTATTTGTCAATATGCCCATCAAAGTTCGCTGATGTGATATATTTGTGATGGCCACCTAGTTCGGTATAGTAGGCATTGAACTAGGTGGCATTAATTGCCACCTGTTGTGCCCATCTACAAAGACACATGTCAATCGTAAAGAATTTATCTATCATCATCAATTTACATAAATTAAACACATCATCAATTTATCTGTCTATATGAATGCACATGTATACATATATACCAAATTTTTCACTGTCAATCATATACACGATTTAACCATCATCCTTAATGGACTTTAACGGAACACAAAGACGGAGGAAAACTTCTAACCAAGAGCTTACCTGTCAATGCTTTTATGTCACTCTTACTTGGTATATAAGTAATTTTTTCAAAATTCACAGTATCCTGACTTGGAATCACCGTATTACCTGCTACATATTACAATACTTGTTTACTATCTCTTTTTGATAATTTCATGTTATACCACAAGCCGATTAAATACCCATATCCAGACCTATATTTACATAATATAAAATTCAATTCATCTTATTACCAATTAAAGATTCATCATACTAATTTTATTTGAAACTTACTTCAAATTTATTTCCAAGTTCCATCGTTAAACAACTTGATTTTTAATCCACTAAACGACTAAATGGCCGAACCTATGTCACATAAATTCACATTTTTTTAAATCTTAATACCTATACTTTAAGTGACATTTAACCTTAATACAAACCAACAACACAAAACATCATTTAATTACACAAAACAGTCCAAAAAACTGAATTTTCATAACATGTACAGTATGCGCTATAAAATCCACGGAAAATCCATTTTAAATCCAATTGCTCTGA